ATTGTATGCACAACAATGTATGAATGGGTAAATGAATGCATGTACTTATGTTTGTCATATTATGATGCACGGATGAATGCATATGTTAATATGCTAGATTAAAATACAAAATAAAACATGAAAGATACAACAACTTAACAATAAATAAAAGATAAAATAAAGCTCAAAAAGTTCACTCATATGTCCTAACGAGGGTTACATTCTAATAAAGGGTAATTATGGTTTTAACCTAAGGTTGGCTTTTTATATTTTACTACTTGTGGTTTGGGTTAAATCTAAAAGTTTCCAAATTGTTTTCACATCATTGTCCATCACAGACTAGTAAGACACTCTAATCCATGTTCATCATAGGCTATAAATGGAAATCATGCAATTTAAGTAGGAATATTTTGCTAGCCTATGCGAAGACATGAAATCTCACAAAAGCATAAGTACTTTACTCCCTTCTAAGGTATGGAACTCGGGTATAGAGCTCATGTTATGCACATGTAAATATATGATAGATATTAAAAGCTTAAAAAATAAATATTAAAAGCTTGAAAAATAAATCAAGAAAAAAATTTTAGGGAAAACATTTGGCTTGGATAGCACAAATTCATTTACTGGCCTGACTCTCGGCTATCTCTAGTGGAGTCATCAAACTGCCATAACATATAAATCATAAACCTAGAGCTAAACTTGACTTAAAGAGTTACCACTAATATTTTTTTTGTTAGGTTCGATTGGTCACCTAACTGAATTTATCTCACTTTAAAGATATATCCCAAACTTGACTTAGGTATCTTTAAAAGGTATATTTTGGTCTACAAAATCATTACTAGGTTTAAGAGTATAATTACTTGTGAATAAAGTTATAACACCTCACAACACCTATCGAATGATGGTACTTATTTAATTTCGTATTATCTAAGCCTTCAAACATATTTGTTTTTTTACCCAAATAATTGAATATTGAAAATAGTCTTAAAGTTACTCCAATTATTTAGTAGCAATTTAAAATAATTTTCTCACATCCAGAGTATTTATGAAGACTCGTGTCCCATATTGAAAAAGCTCCATTTTCGAATTCATTAATGTGTTTTTTTTTTCAAAAAATTAATTTTGAAAACAATTAATAAAATCCTCTAATCGTTTACTAGGATTTTATATCAATGCATATCCCCGATCGTTTGGTGAGATTTTTATTTGAAAAACCTTTTTATGAAAATTTTAAAAAGAATCATTAAAATTTTCAATATTTTTGTAAGATTTAACTTAGAGATTAATCTTTCAGTCATTTGGTAGAATTAAAAAATTATTTTTTAAAAAAATTCATTATGAAAATTTTCAATTGTTTGGTAAAATTAATAATTCGATATTTAAATATTCTAATCATTTGACAAGATGAAAAATTATTTTTCAAAATTCATTATGAAATTCTCCAATAGTTTGGTAGGATTCATAATTTAAAGATTTTTAAACCTATAAAATCCTCTAATTATTTGGTAGGATATCACGAATTATAAAAAATATTATTATTATATTATATATTTTAAAACATCCATAAACAATAGCATAAAACAAATAAAAGCAAATAAAAATTATACCAATTGAATTAGGTCTAAGTCAAAATTCAAAATAAATTAAGATTGGAATAGCCTAACAAAATTCTAACCAAGCTAGAAAAAGGAGGGTTGGTTGGATGATTTGGGCTTCATTATTGGGCTTGAATTTTCTTCAACATGGTGAATGGTTTGGGCACTATTGCGATTGAGCTCTGGCAGTAGAGTGAAGATGGCAGAGAGACAATGTAGTGGTTTTTGTTTCCTTCTTTGATTACTATGTTCCTCAACATAAAACTCCAAAAAAAAAAAAATCCTAATTATCTAATTTCAAAACACCATAAACGATTATAAAAAAACTCTTAACTTTTTTGCATTTTGTTTTCTAATTTTTCTCTCTTGATTTTTCTTATTGATTCTTGATTAATTCTAATTGATCCTAATGGGGTTTTTTAATAGGCTTCTAATCCCAATTACAATAGGAAAATGAGTTTTTTTGTTTGAATCTCTTAATCAACTTCAATATTAGATTTTTAATCTAAATCTACCTTTCAAACCAATTCCCTTTTACAATCCTTTTTCAATTAGAACACTTTCAATTCAATAACCTAATTAGAATAAAACTCTCTTCAAGTTTTGGCAAAACAATTATTTTTTTAAAATAATAATAATAACTCTAAATTAAATATAATACCAAAAATAAATTAAAAAAATTAAAACTTAATCTTAAAATATAAATTGACTCTGGACTAAATGGAGGTGTCTACAATGACAAAATAATCTCTACAACATTCTATTAATAGTTTTATCATTGAGTTAATGGAAGGACCAATTTATCCGGCTGAATCATTACTTTGGGGTGAGATTTCTATTATTAAAACTAACTTCACTTAAATTTTAGTTAAATATGAAAATTTTGGATGGAATTTACTCTTAATAATAAAATAAAACAATAGAACGAGGAATATGTTGAGTACAAAGGGCAAAAGGAAACTGAATAAATGTTCATAGGCGAGCTGCGACTCTAGATGGGTTCAGGCTGCATCCAATTGAGTAACCTTTTCAAAGCTAAGATCCGTTAAGCACTCAAATCATGCTGAATGTATAATATTACTTATAATCCATGCAAATTGCAATAATTTCAGAAAAGGTAAATGCTCCCATTTTTCAGTAGTCATATGATATAATTCAAAGCTATCTATCTTTTGATTATATCTTTGATCCATGGATGACTAGTTTCATAATTGGACAACAAAGGGTTATTTCTATATGCGTTGTCCCAAGTGTTTTCACGTGTAAAAAAGAGAAGTATAAAGCACAACGATTGAGGAATGGGGACAAAGTCTTGAATTTCTTTTTTCTCACAGCAACTAACAAACCGGGAATGCCCGTGAATAAGGATGAGAAAATGTGGGAGTCAAGTTATCAAGATGGCAAAGACTTGTCATCAAGAAAAATAAGGAAAAATTTGGTGGGCATTTATTTTCTTTTTCAACAGCGATTACATGTGCTTCTCCAAAAGTAAAAGTCACGATTCCCCTGTGACTTTCTGCTTTGCCTTTCGTTCAAACTTGATCTCTCTGGGATTGTTTTTGACTTTTTTGAAAGCCCATGCCTCCCTTCCCTTGATAATTCAAACTTTGAAAGTGAATGACCGCCTGAGCGATTTAATTTCCTCTTTGAGCAGTAGGTTCCCCACCCCCTCTATCTTTGTAAAGTGCTTCAAGTCTCCAGCTGTTCAAGCCCTGCTCTCTCTCTCTCCTCTCTCTCTCTCTCCAAACGGAGCCTTAATGACTTCATATTCTAATAGCCGTGTATTATTTTAGTTACGGAATTGAATTATTGTAAATATATCGAAACATAGGGAAAAAAATAGTCCCATTTCTAAGTCCAAGAAACCAAACATTTGTACCCTAAACCCAAAAAAGAAAAGCTGGATTATTTTCCTTTCCTTTGCTTCTTTTTTTCCTCCTACTGGCTTGTAAACTCGGTGTCGGACTCAAGGAGAAGCAAATTTCTTTTTACCATCTTGCGCAAAGGATTAAAGCAGATCACATGAATGAGAAGAGGAGCAAAGCACAAAAAAAACTGAGACTAAAGGTTATAAAGTAAACTATGAAAATTTGAATTCAAAGTACAGATACAAATTAATAATAATTCGAAATCAGAAAAACCAGACACAGAATTCCAAATCAGAAAAACCCAGACACAGAGGAAGTCCTATCAGTACGAGAAGCAAGAGGAATGACGATTGTGGCGGTAATGGTCGTTCATGAGAGTGGCAAATCGGAGTCTGGACAAGACCAACCTTTTCAGTTTACGGACAGACCGTAGCCTAAACCACATGATCCTTTTAATCCCGACCAAGGATCTCTTGATTCTCTCTGTCAGGGACCTCTTTCTGCAGAACTGGTGGCTCCTCAGGAACAACTGTCTCTTCTCCATCATCATGTAGTAGTGCTCCACATACCCATATGAGGACTCGCTCCTGCATATTGATGATACTGGATTTGAAGCAACATGATTATGACTATGATTAGTACTCAGTAAAGCCATTTAATCCAGACAAGGTCAGGCAGAGAGAGAGAGAGACTAGAGCTGTAGAGCAGAGTACTGCCCTGCAAAAGCCAAGAAAAGGGAGAAAGAAAGGAAGCAAAGCAAAGCTTTTTCGCTATTAACTATAGCGTATCATGTTAAAGTTGACTGAATTTGAGAGTTGGCAGGGAATTTAAGTGTAGAACTTTGCTTGCGCAGCATTTGGTTAACTTGCGAGCAGAACGCCGCCGCAGTACTGTCAATCTCTCAACAGCAAGGGCAAAGGGCCGAACGTTGTTTGTCTCCTATATATATATATATATATTTTTACCCTTCTCATCTCTTCATTCACTAATGCATACGCTTTGGTTCTTTGTTTGTGACAACAATAACTTTTTGAGAATTGAGATCATTTCATATGATTCGGGCCGCCTAATACCTTAGCAGCCCATAAACAATTTAAAGATGAACCAGATCCAGTTCTCTCCGGCATGCTTGCTAACGTATTATTCTACCATGAAAAACATCGACTGAAAGTCAAACTCTCACGATTTATTTCTCACAATAACGTGCTTAGTTTAAAGGCAATCTGCATCGAATTTGAAGATGATTCATTAAATTTATTAAAACAAAAGTGTACTAGAAGCACCCACAGTACATTCAAGAAAGCACTTGACGTAGCGTGCGTGGGAAAGACCGTCGAAAAGCTACTTTAGAAGTTTGATTACGATTTTAATCAGGACAGGTAAAGCTAACTGCTATATTAGCACCATGTTTTGCCTTACAAGTTTAACCATCTATTCGTGGATCATGCACTTTGAAAGATATTCATATCAATAACAAACACCTAAACTCAAGACCTCCCAACACTATTAAGAGTAATCGGTACTAAAAAAATTTATTCTGAACTATGCAACCAAAAAATGGAAGAAAAAGAAAATCCAAACTAATCACATGTAAACTTTAAGTATCCACAAGAAAACAGCCCTAGAACTAAGTTTTACCTACAAGGTGTGTTGCAATGCCAGTATGGCATGGCATAACGTAAATGGAAAGTATAACAACAAACCAATGCTTTCTTCAAAGCCTAATTGGCAATGTCAGTCTTGAAATTGCTAGAATGCAACTGCATTAAATTAGATCGCTAGCTTAGCTATGCAACCTAAACAAGGCGCTCGATTAATTTCACTGGAAGGTGTAAGAGCAGCATCTGCAATTTAGCAGCTAGGAATCAAGATAACGGTAGAAGCACCAGACAACAGGTTGAAAAAAAATATCCATCTTTAGTGTCTTAGCCAAATTGCAACTCAACCAACCAATTCCATGCCACAGATTATCATTCCTCAACCTCCCCAATTTCCAATTTCCCTTCCCATTTCCTCCTTTCCATCTCATTTTCAAAGGAAAAACAACTACAATGGGGGGAAAGTAACCAATAACATTACTCTAATGAAACTAGAGTAACCCTTAGATGCTATAACATGGCATGAACCAAATGGTGACATCATTTGAATAACATGCAAAAACGGCATCAAGCTTGAACAAGTCAAGTGAACAAAAGTTGAAACCAAATATCATGACTCCAAGTCAGATCCTTCAACTATGAACTCAGTGCTTTGTAACTACAGAGCAGATAGCAACAGACTAAGACAGCCATTTGCAGACGGCTAGGCCACTACGTTCCAGTATGAAAGCTATGAAAATCAATACATGCAAAAGAGAGAAAAAACTGGGAGCTGACTTCAGCAAACACTTCAGCAAATTGACACCAATCACCAGCACACAATTTGACGTAGGAGGCTGTCCCAAAGTCAGAAATAATGTCATGTCAGATGCTACCTTTTTTGCTCCCTCTCCCCCTCCACCCGATCTCCCCCTACTCCCCAAAGATGCAGCCTTCTTCTTACCTGTCTTAAGGATGTTATGACACACTTATCACCTAAGCTCAGTTTCTTTTGCTGCACGAACTTTTGGAGAGTAATTGGATAGATCCACGTCGAGAAGTGACATATCATATGGCACTGTATAAGAATTTGAGGGATCCACAAGCAGCGATGATTTTATCACATCACTACATGCGGAATCTGGTACAGAGCCAGGGTTTTGGGGAGTGATTGTACCAGATGATGAGAGGCTGGATAACTGAATGTCATCCAGTTTGTTTCCAAACATTAGTTTGTTTCTTCTCACAGCATCCATCTCTGGCCCAGTTGGCACAAAAGTCCTTGACCGGTACTTTCTTGTTCCCTCATCACCATCATTATGGTTGTACAGTACGTAATCATGATATGTTGGCGCAAACTGTAAAACCGATTAACAGATGTAACAAAGAAAAGAAGAATAATAACCTTCGGGAAATGGCAGCAATAAATAAGGCCCACCTGGTGAACAGTATCATGATAGAAGTCATTCAATTTCAAGGCATGTGCAAGGCTTCCTGTAAGACCACGAGACCCGCCAATATTTGCACCCGCATATTCTTTATACGGAAATGCATAAAGATGACCCACAGCAGCTACAAGCATCTCAACACATACAATAAAGTTTTGAAATTGAGCTGCTTCTTCAGCATCATTTATGAACCCAGACTTTGCAGCAAGAAAAACCAGAACACCCTGCGAAAAGAAATAAAAGTAATGGAAATTTTTAGTTCCTTTTAGCATGTATAGCTAATCTATGCAACTAGATGAGCTTTTAGACATGGTACAATGCTGTTAAAGCAGAAGATGTTATGTATAACCAGCTAAAAAGGCATGACTTTTACTAGGTTTTAGACATAGTACGATGCCATCACAGCACAAGATGTGATTCTCTAAAAACCATGTAGAAGCTGCTGTAAAGAGAAAGGAATGCAGCACTTCCAGAACTTAAAATTGCTAAAGTCTTAAGATTTTACATCAATGTTAAAAGGGAAAGCAAAATAGAGAAAATCAGTTTCCCCTCACCCCTAACCCTACAAAATGAAATATAAAGATGGTGTTGATGTTAATGTGCACAGAAAACATGTCACGTGCCAGTAACCAGAAGTTGACCATCCCCAAGGTTGCTATAAAGATACTTACAAGATTTCTGAATAAGGATTATTTCACCAAAAAGCAACACAGGGACAATGCAATGAAAAGAAAGAAGAGAAAGATATAAAAGTATCTAAAAGCCAAAAAAAAAGGAATTTTCTTATTTTCATGCATAAGTATGTGAGGAAGAAATATCAGCACGAAATTTTACCTGCCAATAGGTTAAGAAAACAACAGATTTTATTATGATGAACTTCGGAACTGGATTGAATGGCTGAAGAAGATCTTTGCATGCCATGTAAAACAACACCAAAGCATATAGAGCCATTGTGTATGAGAATGTATATATGATAGTAAGATATAGATATGCCTGTCTTGGACTAAAATTCCCATCTTTATATTTTCCTTTCGCATATAATATGAGTGTTACAGCAACTAAAATGGGCTTCAGAATGACAAATTGCAAACAGCCTTGCTTGCATCTCCGTATAAAACGCCTGCATTGCAGTTTCAGGTGCAAACAATCAAATGTATGCTAAGTTTGTAAGTGTACAGGACAAGAAAATTCCAAAAAATAATTAGTTTCCAAACAACCATGACATTATATGTAAGGAGGGATCAAGTGACATTGGTTTAACAATTAGTAATTGAATGTTTGGGTACAATTAATATTTTAGCAAGCCAACTATTGAATTTAACAACTTATCTGTATATGTCATGCACTTAAAACTTCAAGTCAATTCAATTGTCCCTATCACGTTGATTAAGAATATTATCTTTTCCAACACATAATTGTTGAAACTTTATTTTATCAAATAAATAATTAGACATTTTCAATTAACTTGAAATTTCAACATGCATGATCTATATGAATAGAGAATGAAATCCAACAGTTGGATTAACAAAATGTAAATCATATAAAATAATATGAAAGCATGTAAACCTTAATTAGTTCTACACTGGTATATGCAGACCCCTCTTCTCTCTCTCTCTCTCTTTCTATATATATATATATACATTTATATGAGGAGGGATCCACTTCCACTACTGTAAATCTTATACTTTTTTTTACCCTTGGCTCAAAATTAAGTCAAAGACTCATTTGAATCAAAACAATAATTTTAAATTTAGTAATTTTGTCCAAGGGCCTAAAAAAGTGTAAGAGTTACACTAGCCTGAAATAACATCTTGGTAATAGCAAAAGTTTGAAGAGAGGCCTGAAAGTTAATTGCAACTTCAGCAACACCACATTCCAAATTATCCTCCAATAAGATAATTTCCATAAGTTCTCTCTATCCATTTCTTAATCCTGTCCTTAACAATTCTTACCTTCTTTGCCACAGCAAAGCTAGCATGACCAATTCTACATAACACCTTACCCAATACCCAAGCCAAGCGGTTTAAAACCTTCTACTTAAGCACATATTTTCAAATGAAAAGAAGGTGAACCCCCAACAAACACTACCCATATCAAACTAAGAGGGTAAAGATCTGATGTAAGATGAGGCAGACATTGTTGGAGTTCCGAGGAGGGTAAAAACTCTTACCATAATGGCATTTGCAAGTGGATTAGAAAGGGATGGAACAAGTTCTTAACTTATCTTCACTTGAAGGTAAGGTAAGAACATTCTATCTCTTTTTGGTCTGATATTTGTTGCAGGGATGGACTATTGAAACAAAATTTTGGCTATTTTTGTTCGCAAAATATAAGGAGAACTTGGTGAATTTTGGTTATTTGTATCTATATATCGAGAACGGCACACAAGCTAATTACATAATTCAACCACATCAAATATAGAACAAGGTTATGTAAGTTTTTTAAAATCACATTCTGAATTTTAGTAAATTATTCACAGAATAATGCGTGAATGAAGTAGAAAAGCATGCTTAAAAACCCAGGAAACAAATGATTGGTATTTTGTAGCTCTTTCCAAAATCTAAACTAATAATGAAAGCAGAGATATTCTTAATACCAGAAAACTCTATACTCCTAAATATCTGGACGCACATAACAATGTGATGTGCAAAACAGTTGGGTTCCATCCAAAACTCACCCATCTAGAGGCATGGGAGGGAAGCAGCATGTTATCAGACACCAAGATGGCTTTAAAACTCGACCGCTCAAACTAAGCACAACTGCTCCTGGACCTCCAACCCATGCCAAGCACAGTGACAGAAAATTATAGATGACCCAAGCTTCATAACTGAAACATTTAAAAGAGGAAATGATGTTAGAACACAACAATTTTGCCCGATGAAAAGCATTAAAAAGTACAGAAAAACATGTTTACTGAACCTCTAAGAATGAATAAAGGAGGTGAACATAATGTGACATCCATACATCATCTCTCTCAATCAATCAAGCAATGAATCCATCTATCCACATACTTAGACATAGCATAAACTTTTGGATGGGATGATAGATTAGAAGAACATGAAATTCTGAAATGAAGTGCAAACGAGAAACTGGTGGTTGGTCAAACACAGGGGGACATACTTACACTTCCCGGATGGAATTGAAATAGATTGAACTCTGTGGTAGAACAAGGGACAAGAAAGACATCAACGCATAAACCTGTCAAGGGGAAGAAAATCATATACATTGTAGCACAGAAGACAAAAAGATTTAGGCACAAAGAAAATGAATCCAGTAGAAGAAATAAAGCCGTGTATTAGATAAGAGATAACTGACCGGAACCATAAAGATAATGCGGACGATGTATCTCTGAAAAATAGGTTCGGTGTAATTCAAAAGGTGCCTGTAGATGTGAAGAATCGCCAAAGCAATGGCCCCAGCAGTACATATAAAGGCCACGATGTTAAGATAAATAGGCACCAAAATACCCATTTGTCACACGAACTTCGTATATTTTTATTCTCTTTCCTTCCGGGGGTTAGCGGTACATGGGAAGGAAGGAAACCCTAAACCAACTCCCGACCACCACGGTCAAAAACAGAAAGTAGGATTGATTTGATTATGCTAATTCGACAACTGACTTGCCGAATTAGGAAGAATTTGAAAAGAAAGAATCAGTAGCGATATGGAGATGAGCAGTAACTAGAGGCCAGAAAGGGAGTAAAACCTAAGTCCGGGGACACGTTGGCTTATGTTTAAAGTTTGTTTACAGAAGAAGATAAATGGATGGGTAATCGGTAAAGGTAGAAAGCAATAACCGAAAGAGGTCAATAGCGAACAATTCCAAGTAGAATCAAGAACCAAGTCGAAATAATTACCTTTAAATTGAATGAAAATTGGAGAACGATCAAACCCAGGTGGATAATGTCCTGAAGGTAACCTGGAATGAAAGAAAAGGCAGATCTGGCAGCGGTTGTCGACTTGTTGAGTGTGCCTAGAAACTAAATAGAAATTTCCTTTAACAAATTTTAGGATTTTACAACTGCGAATGCACCCCACTGGCAGCCAATAATGGCGGCTCTCCAACTTTTCCCGAAAAATCACACACGGCTGATTTTTCTATTTTCTTTTTTCATTAATTTGTCTGGATGGAGGTAAAGGGAAAAAAAAGAATGGAATGGAATAGAAACAAAAGGAAATGGAGGTAAAGGGAAAAAAAAGAAATGGAATGGAAACAAAATGAAATGAAGAAATTTTTTTATATGATATAATAAAAGTAAAAGAAAAGAAGATATGTTTAGCTCTTTTTATTTTTTTTTAATTTTTTAATTACCTCAAATTGAAAAAAATGAAAAGAAAAGAATAAAATTTTAAAATATAAAATAATTATTATATTTTTATTAATTTTTTAAATTAAAAGTGTACTATTTAGAACTCTAAAATTATATTAAAAATATAAAATATTATTTATCAATAAATTTATTGTCTCTAATTTTTTTCTTATTTTTATGAATTTCATAAATTTCAATGATCACTATTTTTATGAAAAATAAAGGAAAATTGAAAACATAAAATACGTTAACTTAAACACATAAATGTTATGGTAAAAACAAAGATTATCAAAGGTTATAGTTAGAAAAAAATAATATAATAAATTATTTCTTTTTATTATTATTATTTAACCAAACAATAGTTGTTAAGGTTTTTTACTTTTCTTTTCTTTATTAATTTTAGATATTTAAACAAATGATACATATATCATTTTGTTTTTTTTTTTTAAACCTTCTTTTTTTTTTACTTTATTTTCTTTTCTTTTGTTTTTTACTAATATTTATCCAAATTACTTTATTTTGTTTTTTGGAAAGAAGATTAAGAAGCGAGATTACGAGAGCCCAAAAAGGTGTAGGCATTTTAATTTTGATCTGATTTTCACGTTTTACAATGATTTAGTGTCAAACTTAAAAAAAAAAAAATGCACTTACTAGATCAAAAACAATTTTATTATTTATGCTAGCCTAAAATAGAAAAAAAAATATTCATAAGAAAAGTAAAAGGAAGTTTACATACCAAATTTTAAAAAAAGTTTAATGTTTTGTAAGAAAAAAAAAATATATTTTAATCATATATTTTATTTATTATTAATTATTTATCATATTTAATTCGTCCTATTAATTTATTAACTTTGACTTCCTTTGACTAATGACAAAAAAAGATTTCCTTTGACTTACACATAAACTAGTTTTAAACTCGTGCAATGCACGAAAATATATTCATATATCAATAAATCTTATATAAATATAAATTTTTTAAAATAATAATGTAGAGACCCCATTTTGTCTGGGGTTTTTCATCAATTGAGCTTAATCTAAGCTCAATTGTAGGATTTTTATTCATTTTATTTTTGCTTATCCTATTTACTTATTTACTTATTTTGTTTATTTATTTCAAATATTTTATGGTTTAGCTTCATTATTTTATCATTATCCGATTAATTAAAGAAAAAAAAAGAAAAAAATTTTGAAGGCCAGATTCAATGGGAGGAAGTGAGGGGCAATGATAACGTTGGATTGGGATTTAACTTCTGAAAGATAAATTCTAATTTCTTGTTGATAATATAAATTGAATCACGATTGACTTGAAATTCTCCTAAGTTCATCCTATAAATATCACAGAAGAATCAACGTTAAGAGGGTAAGTGAAAATCTAGAGGGAGAAATACAGAATCCCTATAAAAAATAGAGATCAAGAGGGACATAAAAATCAAAGAAAAAAAGCATGCAAAAGATAACCAGAAAGTGAAAAATTTTTAGGTTAAAAAAATATTTTTTTTAAGAAATTTTTTGAAAAATTTCAGATACTAGTGAAATTTTTCACGAGTTTGAAGTTTTCGATGACTTTTCAGTGACATTTTAGATTCCGGTAAGTTTTTTAGTTTTCGACTAGAGATTTCTAGAAACCGATGAACTTTCAATCAAATTTTGATGAACAAACCTAGATTTTAGTAAGATTTTTCAGAATCCAGTGAATATTCAATTGGTGTTCTTGGGATTCTAGAAAAGAGGGATAGAAAAAGGAAGAAAAAAGAGAAGGAGCAGAGGAAGTCTAAGCCAAAAAACTAGATTTTGGCTTTTATAGTCGATCAAAATGGTATCATTTTAAGGATCAAATGGGCTTAAGAATCCGCATGTTTTCCCTTAGGTTGACCTGACTCGAGCGTTGACCCGCTTTTCGACCTGCATCCCAACCCTAGGTTCTAGCCGAGTCGAGCCATTTCTTAAGCCACTTTAGCCACCTATCCTCCCTGCAACCGAGCCAAATCTACAGTTGAGTCAAGCCATTTTTTGTTTTTGGTTTTTTTTATTTATCTATTTATTTATTTGTTTGTTTATTTATTTTTTTTAAGTATTGTGTTTAATTAAATTCTTAAAAAATATATATAAAATAAATTTTTTTTAGAATAAATATTAATTGTCTAATGATAGAATTGTTAGAAATTTCAAATGGTAAATTTCTATAAAATTTCTAAGTGAGAAAAGATTTCTAAATTTGCCACAAATTGTGGAATAATTTAGATAAAGTTTAAATAATAATAATTAATATTTATTTTTAACTAAAAAATAAAAAAATAATTGTCATATTATTTTCTTTCCAAAAAAAAACAAAAAAGGAAAGTTTTTTAATTGACCAAAATGGTGAATAATTTAGAAATCAAAAAGAAAAATTCTAAATGGGACCAAATAGTGGAGAGTTTAGAAATAAAGCCAATGAAATAAAAATAAATCTCGATGATAAAATTCTTAGTAATCATAAATGATTGATTTTCTAAAAAATTTCTAAGTGATAAGATATTTCTAATTTTGGCCCAAATGGTGAATGAATTAGAAATATTTTCAATAAATAAAAATGATTAAACCTTTTTTCGATGACGGAGCCTCTTCAAAAAAACAAATGAGATTTTTAAATACTCCTGAGGTGAGAAAGTATTTTTAAGCATTCTTCTAGATTGATGGAGAAATCTTAAAGGTTATTTCCAATATTCAACATTAAAATAAAAGCCATTAGAACCAAGATAATTGTTAAGATAATTTAAAATTAAATGGTACCATCCTAGGATGAGCGTTATGGGGGTATTATAACTTTTTCACATATAATCGAACTCTCTACCTCAGTTATGTTCAGAAGATCAAAACTATTTTTTAGGGACTCTTAGTCAAGCTTACGAGTTTTTAAAAGGATAGATTCATTAGGTGACCAATTACACCTTAAAAAAGATTGGTGGCACTCCTCTTATTAAGTCTAATTATAGATTTATAGATTTATATGTTATGATAATTTGGACGACTCCACTGGGGATACTAGAAAGTCAAGCCATAATTTTTAAATTTATCCTATCATTTGGTCTAATAGTTTTAAATTATAATGATTTGTATTATCTGTTTACTAATGTTTTTATCTTTTTTATCTTTTATTTTTAGGGTTTGAAACCTATATGTTCATATGCACACACTAACACATGTATTTATATTACATGAGCTCTATACTCGGGCTTCATCCTTCTTAAGAGGGAGTAAAGTACCTATGCTTTCATGGGATGATAATTTTAGCAATGGCTAACAAAATACTCTCACTCAAATTGAATCTTTTTTATCGGTAGCTTATGATGGGTGAGGATTAGAAGGCCTTCCTAGTCTGTAATAGACAATGATGTAAGGAACAATTTGAGAGCTTTTAGTAGTCAAAGTCACCTAGCCTTGCATATAATCTACACTTAAGAAGCCAACCTTAATAGATGTAACTCAAAGTTAGGACACAAGAATGGATAATTTGTGATTTAACCATTTTGTTTGTTTGACTTTATGCATACATCATTTTCATCGTCATGTGTAACATTATGCATTTGCATAATTTTCATATAAGAAATATTTACCACATAGTAGTTATTGATAAATTAGATCTTATACCTAGATCCATGAAAATGTATGTTACATGCATTACACATAAAGCATATCAATTTTTATCGTAATTGTGATATTCAAAGTTCAAAGATAGCTCCACTAAACAAAAAACTTATACAATCAACTCACCAATACAACACAAGAGCTCGAGTCAGACAAATGGAACAACAAAATTTTAATCATCTCGAGAGGATAGAGAAAGCTCAAAAGAAGGTTGAAAGTGAGTTGAGTAAAATCCTAAAGGCTTTGAACAAATTAAACAAGAGAAAAGGTATAGAAAAAAATACTAGCCAATAAGATCATCCATTATAAGAGGTGATTGACCCTTTGTACGCTCTTGGTTTTGGGCTGCATTAAGCCCATTCCATACATAAAGCATCATTACAGTAGTTTACATACTCTGTAGGGTATACATATCTCGAAATGCCATCAGCTTCAAATCCAAGATATAACCAGAGTTATGTAAATCCTGTCTTTATTGAGAAAATAGTATAACCAGTTTAGGTCCCTGATTTGGATGATCCAAAAAAGAAAGAAAAGCTAAGGCCTAAAGGAAAAGAGACTTCAGAATGCTCAAAAGTTGAATAAAAAATGAACTTATTAGAGGAAAAGTTACGAGCAATAAAGAAAATTGGTTTTTATGGTTTTGTAGATGCTGTTGGGCTCTGTTAGTTCCAGATGTTGTTATTCATATGAAGTTTAAAGTTTCGAGTTTAAAAAATATGATGGCACAAAATACCCAAAAACTCACATTACCATGTACTGTCGAAAGATGGTTGCCAATGCTAATAATGAAAATCTGTTAATACATGTATTTCAAGATAGCTTTACTGGTTTTATTACTAAGTGATATGTCTCGTTGAATAAAGCCTACATTTAGTCTTGGAGTGATATGGCTCATGACTTTATCAATCAATATTGACATATTATATATTTAGCTTATAATCGCCTTTCTTTGCAGAATATAGAGAAAAAATGAACTGAATCATTCAAAAGTATGTCCAGAGGTAGAGAGACAGCTATTCAAGTTTAATCACCTTTGACTGAGAAAAAAATCATAGTATTATTCGTAAGTACTTTAAAATCTTCCTATTATGAAAATATGATTGAGAATACAATAAAGAACTTTGTTGATATGATAATTTTAGAGAAAATGATTGAAAATACCATCAAGAGTAATAAGCTTCAAGAAAGAAAAACCATTAAGAAAATAAGGATTAACTAAGAAGAAAAAAATCAAAA